AAATTATTTTTGAAAAAAAACAACTTTTTTTTTGAATATTGTCGCTGATGGTTTCATGCATTATCATTATGCGTTTTCATTACAAATCACATTTCAAGGATTTCAGTGTTTTTAATTAGCTAATTGTTATTCTCTATATATGATCCATTAAAGTGGAACTACAGTCGCTTTGTTTCTGCTGATCACAACAAACTAAATATCATCAGATTTGACCAAAGGTCAGAGGTCTGTGTTCCCAGTAGGAGATGTGCATTGTTGTATGTGCTCAAATTTTTTATGAAGCAAATCATTTATCTTGTAATAATATCATTGGTAATGTATCTCCCAAATCTCATGGAATACTAGACTAGGTTTCAATGCCATAGTGATACACATTTGCAAATCTACCAGTAAAATTTTAACAGAAACAAGATGTCAGATAATCGATATAACCACTCCTATGAATTGGGTGCCAAACTTTTGATCAAGATCTGAAGCCACCGGAAAATCTGTTTAGTCCAAAGTTATCAAAACAAAAACAATACATAAAAAGCAGAACGTTGCATCCACATCTTGAAAAGAAAATTGTACTCAAAAATATATATATTCTGTTACAGTTCATTCGACAAAACATTTTTTTGTATATAAATATAGTATATAAATTTTGAAAATCAAAATTCACAGGAATTTGTTTCAGCTATTAGAACAGAATGATAGAGCTTTTATAATACTGATTTAAGAACGCACTTCAAAAACAAAGATTGCAGTGTTTGAAGATATAGATTCTCAGGAGGCGACAGTACTGTTGACTTTTCTCTCCACTGGACACCAACTAACTATTCCATTCCTTGGCAATTCAACATCTGTCCATTGTCATATACTATGTCAACTCTGATTAACCATATACTGTCTATGTACTAGTAATCCAATCACTACAACTATTATAGTTGATTTGCATACAAAGCAGAACTTGCAACATGATAGTTATTCCTGTAGGTTTTTTTTTACTTTTCAAATAATGCAGTAGTCACATAATAAATATAATAAGGCAGTTCATATTTGTCTCAGTGAATTTTTGACAGACGCTTATACAAAATACTTGAGCGAAAGCCAGCTAAGATTTTCTGTTATCTTGCATGTTTTACGAATCTATTCATGTCTAAATGCAGCACTTTTTTTCTGAGACTCAGATGAGGCATTTGAATTACTTTGAATAAAGCTAGAAATGATGTCTCTTAAAATAATTAGACACCAATGTTTTTTGTAAGATATTTACATCAATCAACATGATTTTGAAGACTGCTTTCCCACTGCTGTTTCAAACCTAAAACTTGTTTGTATTCAAAATTAATTATGACAATGCATATTCATATTGAAACAAACTATGATAAAGGGCAAGATCACCAGAGTTCAATTATATTTTTGAAAAGTGTGTCATAGGAACCACAATGTGTTTTTGTTTTTTTGTTGTATCAACTAACCAAAATAATTATGTCAGAACTATTTCCTACATGTTTGGTTTGTATGTCAAACTGATATCAATCTTGGTACAGTGAGTTGTATTGTAAACACAGTAGACTTGCTTCAATTCCTATGATCTGTAGATCTTTAGAGCACAGATCCTTATATCACATAATTTATATTAAATAATACACTAATTATCACTGGATTACATACATGTATGTTATGCATTTATAAGCAGATCAATTGTCAATGAAATATTGTGTTTTCTATTTTTTATTCTAAATAGGTTGTATTGCATGCTGGAGA